ACAGGAAGGTCATATTTCACTGCCTCTTTACTGTTCTTCCAGAGATTTCTGTAATTCTTTCCTCACCTTATTCTGCTTTTCTGTCTTGAATGCTGCAGAAGCAGCAGCAAGGTTATGGTTTCTGTGGGGTGGCTTCCAAGGGCTTGCACAACATGCACCGCAGCATTAGTCTGAGGAGTCTGGGTTGAGCTCAGGCGCCTTCACTGTGACAGGTCATCTGTCAAATACAGGCTTGGACAGACAAAGCGGCTTTAACTGACCAGTCCAGTTATTGGCTCTTCTGGGGTCATCTTGGCTGGATTATTTATCTGGAGCTTATTGAACTCATCAAAATCCTTTGTCACTCTGAAATATTTCAGAGTAAGTGATGCACCGGAGGGTGGAGAAGCAAGTGTCTAACAAAGGCAGCAGATTCTGGACGCTTTATGTTGTGGGGGCATCTGATGTCTCCCTCAGCTTCACAGGGCTTTCAGTGACCATCTTGTACCCTTTTTTCTTTATTAGTTGAGGTTACGCTTAAATTGGAAATTAGCTCTTACTCTTTCCACCATTAAGCATTGACTCCTAGGTTGTTTGCCTTTAGCCCATCAGTTTCTGAGAGTTTTGAGCTACTCCACTATCAGTTTTGAGCACCTCCGCAATTAGGTAACCCTCAAACGCTGAACAAATCTATTCTTCCACCTCTTTGAAAGTCATCCTATACCTCACTCTTGTTTGCCTTGTATTAACCCAGAAGGGCTCCCAGCCTTTGCCTCTGCACCCAGTGCAGTTGCCTTACCGTGTAACCTGGAACCTCCTCCACATGCTATTAGCAAAAAGCCGTCAGATCTGTAGGGCCTGTCCAACAACAGCTTCCTGCATGGAGAAACAAGCACCCTTGAGCACCTTCTCTAGTCTCCAGCTCAGCCAGTCCTTCCCTTTTCATCGGTGCAAGCAGCAGTCCAGGCTTCTTGCCCAGACACTGCTACTCAACCACGAACTCAGCTAGTTTGCTCTGAACTTGTTTGATTTGCTAGGGGCATCTACATGCCTTCTTGCTTGATGCTGTGTTAGTCATTCACCTCTACAGCAGGGCTGGAATTGCTCTCGGCTCCTTCCCTTCTCACTGCTGTGCTGATACTTGCATCTGGTTATTAAGGTTTTGGTGCAAAAGATGTGGTTCGGTTTTTGCCTTTTATCCGTAGGGGTGCGAAGGTAAATGTTTGTCTTGTGAAGAAAATCCAGGTCTTGCTAAGCTGATTATAAAGAATATTGTTCCTCAGCTCTACGTGTAAATGTAAAACTTAACAGGCCTTCTTGAGCTATAGGTTTAAATCTGAGATGCGATGCTGGCTACAGCTGACCTGAACTGGAAGATGAATCGATCGTGGGACTGCATGGAAGGAAGAGCTGGCGAAGGAAACTCAGTCTTGCTTTGGAGAGCTGTGCTGTGTCACCGCCTCTGCTGGAGGGTTCCTTGGTGAAGCTGGTCTGGTGGTTTGAAGCAAACTTCTCACGGATGTGTCTGCCCGTAAGGTGTTCCTCATTGTGGGGGTATTCAGCATGAAACTCGGGGCAGTGACTAAAGAAGAGTAAGTGCTTATTCTGGTGCATGCCCCAAGCTGCCTCTTCTGGTTCCCTCAGCCTTCTGACCTTCTGCAGAGATGCTGGTTGCGTAGCAAATGCTGAATCACAGCAGTTCAGTCCAGTGTATTTGGTATATTTCTAAAACATATTTAAATTGCAGTGGTTCACAAATAGAAAAACCCATGTAAGAAGAGACGGATGAACAACTTCTACCCCTGGGTATCTTGGGGTGGACAGCAGTCCATGAACATGCACTTGTAGTATCTCACAGAAAGTCCGCAGGTGGAGAGCTGGATATGCTTTTAAAATTAATTCCTTAATAGGTTTATGCTAACTCACGATATCTGTTACAGTGGTACAGAGGGATAATATTTCTACTGATAACTTTATATGCAGTTTGCAGCCAAGCTTAATATGCAGTTTGGGTGATACATCCCTTTGGTCGCCTACAGATCTAAGAACCAAAATCAGAGACCACCAAGATCTGTGTTTTAAAGAGATGCAAAGACACGAACGAAGAGAAAGAATTGAAGGTGACGCCCAGCTGATAGTAAGAAGCTGGAAGCTGCTAATAGAGTTCAGTGAACAGTCATGTATTTTTAATAGCTTGATTATACCCAGTAAAAAGCCATGCCCTCATAGCTTACAGCTGTGATGACATTGTCCAGAAATTGGCAGGCCGGAGAATTTGTAATGTGTCCGTTAACCGGTCTTTCTTTTACGTGAAACATACCCTCTAAAGAGGGATCGTGCTATGTAGGCAGCAATAGTGCGATGACGGTCCTTTCTTTGCGGTGCTGAAACCGCTGGGACCTTGCTAGCTTCATGAATGTATGAACAAAGGCTCCGATTACCTTCAAAGATGACACGCTTCCTCTTTGCTTTCTTTTAAGGCGTCTGGCTCTGCAACCGGAGCTTGAACCGGTAGAAACTGGTTGCCGCAGGCAGTTGTGTGATGGTCAGTGTTTGTTCTGGGTTTGCGATACCTGGGTGCACGCTGAGGGTTGTGCGGAGCAGGGCGTACCCCGGGGCGCTATGTGAACCGTGGCCTGCAGAGTGCAGGTTGGAGGTTCAGCACGAAGAGTGCGTAGAGGGAGACGGGAGGCGTCCCGAAGCTTCCCGCGTTTGGCACTGGGGTTAAAAGACATCAAGTGTGTTCTGTGATTCTGAACTAGAGGTCAAAAATCGGTAGCCCCCACTGTGCAGTGGATTTTGTGCTGTATTCGGAAGGGTAATTACAACTGTCAGCGTTGTAATTTTTTTTTCTAGATATTGATTTCCTGTGCAAATGGAGACTACTAAAAAAATAAACCAAACGAAAAACCAACCGTGCTGCTTCTAGTTCTTCGCTACGTTCATCTGTGGTGTCAGGAGGGCTTTGGCTGTATTGATCTCGCTGCAGGACCAGGGTCTTAGTGGAGCTATGATTGCGTATTAGTAACGTCAGTATTTAGTAGTGCCCAAATACATGTATTTTACATTGCTTAGGGTATTACTTTGCTCTGTTTATCCTGCACTAGGATTCCATGCGGTTTCTATAGTGAGGAATTTGTTGTACACGTGTTCATCTTATTGCAACACTTTTTGCTTTTAAATACCCACATCCTGTTTTTCATTACAGGATTGACCCCTGTAGGCTCTCATAGCAGTAGAACTAGCAATAAATGTTTAACCCGTGGATCATGAAATAATAATTTCATTTGAAAGAATAGCATAGCTTACAGGGAGTAAAATATAGAAAACCACTTCTGCTAGGTTTTCTGTTCAATGTTTAACACTATGCATTTAATCTCGGTGTGTGTCACATGCCACGTTCAACTACTGTGCTAGAGAAAATGCATTTTCAAGGAAATGCTTCCCACGCGTAATACATGGCCTTTTGTGGGGAAACTACAACAGATGCATGCAGCCAGATCACTTCACCTTCTTTCTACAAAACCATTTAAAAGAGCCGGAATGGGAGGGGAAGGCCACTGTGGAAGTGGGGAGACAGTCTTAAGTTGCTGGAAGAGGATTTTGGTTCAGGGGATAGTGCCGGGTCAGGAGGAGCATTGCCTGACAGCCTGGGTTACAGGAACGTGGCATGATGTAGACCAAAGCTCCAGTATAATGTGAAAACCCAGGAAAAAATGATTGAGAACAACGAGGAAGCAGCTGTAGAGGATGCTACCAGTGAGGTAGTGATGTTCCTACCTTTTGTAAACTGTTTTGCAGAAATCCTTCATGAGTTAAGGCTTTATAAGTGAAAACTTTTAGCTCAAACTAAGTCAACAAGAGATTCTGGGACAACGTAATAATAAAATCGATGCTCATAGGAGAGAGAGAAAAGGTATGAGCTTTTCATTTTCATGGTTAGCGCTGACCGTAGGATGAGATCAGACTGGTTTAGGTAAACATAACGTATTAAAACAGGGCTAAAGGTTGGACCTAGGCTGCCTAGAAACAGGTTGTTAAGTCGATCTGCTTCATGTAAAAATGCAGCTGCACGTTGGTGATGAGGCTGACGCTGCGACGGGGCAGAGCCTGGCACTGCAGGTGCGGCGAGGGCCTCGCTTCTCCCCAGCTTAGCACCTGGGGTTTGAATGAGGTCACCCTTAACAGATGGAATGTGTCTTGGTGTTTCTTAATGTCTCTGAATTCATAGACATTTCAATGTTAAGGCTTTTCTGTTAATTTTTTCTTTGTAGTGTGTGTAGATACATGTAGTTGTCATTCAGTATTTGCCACCTATTGTTTAGCTACACCTATCTAGTCCCTATTTATTTTTTTTTTTATTACAAAAAACTAAGCTTGGAAGAACTTTGTTTCTCTCTGAATTTCTCTCCTTCCCAGCTTGTTTGCAGAGGAGGAGACTAGCGAAGGGTTTCTTTCATTCTTTTTTTTCCCCAGGTTTTTATCAGCTCCTTGGCAAGAATACCTGAGCACTTCCAGAGTCTTTATCTCATCCACCTTCATAGCACCCCCCTGGGATGGAGGAGTGTTACGGGGCCCATCTTACAAGTGCCTGGGAAAATAATTTTAGAGAGATCATTTTAGGCTGTGGTAAGCTGGAGCTGGATTCTGGCATCCTAAAGCTCAAGCTGATATGTAATTTATTGCCTTTTCCCTTACCCAAGGCTTCCTCAAACCCTCATTTATTATCTTCATGAAGGATTTTAGCTGTTCTGAGGCTAGGAACTGACTAAAGAAATAAACATTAGCAAGTCAAACTAGAAACATTGTTTTATTTTTTTTTCTCAGTTCTTGATTTGCAAGTGTAGTAAGGAAATACTTAAATCAAATACAGAGCTGAAAAAACAGAACTCATTGTACTCAATCAACATGTCCCAGGTCGGTGTGCTAAAAGTCCTGCTTAACCAAAGCAAGTGACAACGACTTTTTTTAACCACTCGAACCACTTCTTCCAGAAAGAAAGAAAGAAAATCCCGCCTTCCTTGCTCAGGCAAAGCCCCTGCTGAAACCGGTGGAAGTGGGGCTAGCAGCAGAACAAGGACAGCAAGAGGGAGACAGTAAACCTTAACCCCCAGGACTCTAAGAACCTAAAAAATAAGGCCCTTTACTCCATTTTTACCTTCTCGGTGCAGCCTTGTGTTACATTAGATGAAACAATAAAACTCCTAGGAGAGACGTGGCACCACAAAAAGAGGGTGTGTTAAGTGAGGGCGTTTTATTTCCAAGTCATTTTGTAGTAAATTCAAATTTCGGCTGCATTTTAAAAAGAAGTATCACACACCCTTGAGCAAAGGCCCAGCTAATACCCTTATTTCTCATCAGCTTATCGCTGACACATGTCAGCATCAGGACTGACCTGTTTCTTTTCCCTGAACCGCAGAGCTGAGAATACTGGGAATAGAGATGGCGTTTGGCCTCGGGAATTAATTTGAAAACCTCAGGTTTTGGAAGGAGCTGTGCTTTAGCGTGCAGTTCACAGAAAAAGTGCCTGCTTGCTGCCCGTGTGTCTCCGCTCCATCTTGTCTTTTCAAATTTGTGGAGTGCATGAGAAGGAGTAGCATTCTAGGTAACGTAGGTGATGGGCTTACGTGGTGACAGCTCCCAGAAGACGATCCAGAAGCCAAAAGGTGCAGATGTTTATACATGTCGGCTTGGCATGCCGGGTTTCGCATTGGGCTTCCCATTCACAGGCCTAGAGAGAGAGGGAAGGTTTTGATTTACTTTGATGTAAAAGGAACAAGAAGGCAATTAATGTACGGCTGCTGATCAGCTCGTTTAGCCTTGGTCTGCGGCCGGGGACCTCCAAGAGCAGGCTGCAAAGTGTTTCTAAATCCTCTTCGTGCTAGTGAAGGATCCGCCAACATTTCAACTAGTGACAGCCAGTAGGACGACTTTCTTAAGATACACTGCTAATCAATTGTTACACTAATTAAAAATAAATAAAAAGGCTTTTTTAATTTGCCTCTGACTTTTGCACACTCCTGTCCTCTCGTCAAGCCTTTCTTCACATTCAGAAATGAATGAAGAAAGAACTCAGGGCTTTTTTTGGAGTTGGGGAAGCTGTTATCAATTCATAAAGACTTTTTCTTGTTGCAAACCAGTTTCCTGCAGAGGAGCTTAAAAGGAGGCTTCCTAGACAACCAGCGTGCTCCCAAAATGATAGAAATTACTGGTCTCCAGCAACTGATAGTTTTATGCTGATTTAATGAGTTGGAGATTTGGCACCCGTTTTCACTGAAGATTAATTGGTGGTGGAAAATGAATCCTACAGCTGCCAGCAAGAATCCCAGGCCAGATCCCGAGGCGCTCTTTAATTGAGTGAATTGCACTATTAACTTCCAGCGAGCTTCATTTCAATAAGCGGGAACAGCTCAGAGCAGCAAGAATTTCCTCTCTTAAATAAAAGCTTAAATATGCTACAGTTGCTTAAACCAGGACCCTGTCATGTCGGCGCTGCCGGAGGAAAGCTGTCCTTGATGAGATGATTTCCTGAGGCACTTGTAACCCAACTGCTCCATCAGTGCAAGACTGAAGAGCTCTGCGGTGTGTTTTTTCTCCTTGGGGACAGAACATCTTTGCACGGGGCTGGCAACAGGAATTGAGATAAGTGAAGAATGCAAGCATTGTCCTCATCAAGGCTGCAAGAAGAGCTCTTCGTTATCACTTCGCCCTTGGAAAGCCAGGCGAGGATCAGAAGAGCCGCTGGGTAGAATAAATATCCATTGTAAGAATAACAGGCTGTTCCCTTTTTCAGACAGGTTAAAAGAAAATGCAGGTCTGTGGGTAGAGCTGTGTACTGATACATACGTAGAAAGATTGCACCCAAAGGGCAGAAGGCATTGCCACTCAGTGCCTCTTCCCTTAAACACTGTTATTATTCAGGCAATGATTCCTGATGCGTTCTGCCTTTAAAAAAATAAATAAACTGTAGGGATCCATTTTCTGTTAATGTAGGGGGAGGGAGGTCCTTTCTGAGTGATCGTATTAATTTGGACAACTAAAAAAAGGATTAACTTTTTTTACTATGAAACCCATGGATGTATAACAAGGAATATGAAATTACCTGATTTAAAAGATGCTTGATTTGCAAAGAGCAAGGCTCCAGAGGTGTGACAATACTGTTCTAAACTTTCTTGCAACCCAGCTTTTCCAAGTGCTAGCCCGGCGCTGGCCTGGCCGGAGCAGTAGCGGGGATTTCAGTGCTAGAGCACTCTCTTGCCGCAAGCCCTGGGGTGGGGTGGACTCTCGGCACGAGGCTTGCAAAACTGCAGAAGTGGGTTTCTGCAGAGCAGGCGAGGTGAAGAAACCGGCCGCAGGGAGGTCGATTTGCAGAAGCAAAACGCGTGTTACTTGCTGGCAAAAGGATTTCGTGTTCCAAACTGGCAAATTGCAATTCTTATTCCGATAGTGTTTTCCTGGTGACTCAGGATGATGAGTGGGTTGGGGAGGCAGGAGGGAAAGCATAAAAAAAGGGTTCCTGTCTGCCCGGGGAAATAGGTTCACTCTAAAGCTATACGTATCTGCATTGCTGTTTCTCAGGAAAGTCATCTGGGGCTGCGTCAGCCTCTCCGCTACCGTTACTTAGTGCCTGTTCGGGGAAATTGAGGCGTAAAGCCATAGTGGTGTTGGTCCAAAATTGTGCAGAGGGGGACTTGGGATGCAATAACTTGCACCTAATCCATGCGCACAACCTGAAAGTCCCGTGATGAAATTAAACGAACGGTTTGGGGAGGGCAAGGGGTGAAATACGGTCACCCCCGGGCGCGAGTTGGAGTAGCGCATTGGGAGCACACAAATGTGATGTTAGTTATAAGCATGAGGAGATGCGCAAAGTTTTTAGGCTGCCACAAACACCCTCTGTCTTTCTCTTTAGTACCTCCTGCAGTGTCAGTGCTCAGTGATTTGAATTACTTCATATTAAAAAACCAAACACAGGAGAAGAGAATCTTATTTCTCTTTTTTGCCCTTAATTCATTAGAGTCCCCTCCCATCCACCGTATATCGGATGAAGAATTTTTAGGTCGCTTTTTGGCACCTGCCTGCTTTATCGCTTGAGGGTGAGGTGCTGCCAAGTTTAAGAGAAAAATGTCACTAGGAGAAAAAACACCTGTCACTAACCTTTTACATCTGCATCTTCGTCTTCTGGTTTCTAAAATAGAAAAGAAAATGTTTTAGGTTGAAGACACTGAGTCACAGCTCAGTAAAGAAACGCTGCAGCAAGGTAGGGCTGGCATTCCCTAGCAGCTTGCTATCTTTAAGACTAACAACGGATAAACCGAGCTTATTTTTGAGGAAAGCCATGCCAGTGAGCGGTGCTGCAGCTCATGTTTCCCTGGCGGTCCACTTAAGTATTTTCATGAATTAAATTTTCACGTGAGTAACAGTAGCAGGGTCAGCCCGGGAACACTGACAGTGATTTTTTTTTTTTTTTTTGCTGTCTCCAGCGACTTTGGCATGTTGCTGAAAATCCATTGGCAGCAATTAATTTCTACAACAGATGAGTAGCGATGATGCCACGCAGCATGCAACCAAGTTGAACGATACTATTCCCCATTTTAGCATCTATGTCGTCGTGTATTCGGTGAAATACAGCGTCGAGCCATTGATTTTAGCACAGGGTAAAAACCCGTCCTTGAGGGTTCGGGCTGCCTGCTGCAGAAATTAACTGCGGCTAATGGCTTTTCACTGATCGTTCACATCAGCATTAAAAGGCAGAAATAAATCACTGAGTGGCGTTTGTAGGTTAACAGATGTTGCAGCTTATCAGGGAATCCTAGTGCACGTGGAGGGCCCCTGGTGACTTCAGAGGGAATTTGGACCAACTCTGGGTGCTCTGCTGCATCATCAGCTATTTCCCTCGACAAGAACGATTTTTGGCTGTGGCTTATCGGTGTTTTTTCATTTATTCCTTCTTATCGCTGCAGACCGTGGGGATCAGTATTTTTCAGGGCTGAAGGATGCTGAAAAATTGTATTTTTTTAAACTGGGTCAGCTGGCAAATTCATCTCACATCAACTCCAGGCTGCGGGGTCAGTGAGGATCTAGTTAGGTTAATTCAGCAGCAAAACACTTTGGTGTTCCAGGGAAACAAGCTGAGCCAGTTTAATGAAATCAGTGTAACTTCTGGGGGTATCGGGAAACTCCCCGAAGGAAAGTTAAACTGATTTCAGTGAGCGTTAAATTGATTTAAATACCTTTGCACTCACTGCTTGCTCAGGGTAATTTAAAGACATTTCAAACATGAACTTTCACCAAGGACTTTTGTCTACCCAGAGATTTTGCATTACTGCTTTAACCGTAGCAGTCTCTGAACCTGTGTGATTAAGTTGCCTGCTTGGATACAGCTCGAGCTGCTAATGGGAGTCTTGGCATTTGAATTTGCAAGCCCTGTGCTGGAGCGTGATCACCCTATTTTGTCAAAGTGTTTCAGGTTCTGGTACTTCTACCCCCGATACACCAATTTAAGGATGGTAGAGGCAATACAGTTTGATAGAGTAAGTTTTGTCTATTTATAATCTGTTTTTCTTCCTTGTAGTGTAGAAACTGATAATTATTTCTCAGGCTAAGCCTACTGATGAGGAAAATATGGACACTGATTTTTTTTTTTTTTAACAGTGGTCCTTCTCTTGGGTTGACTGTGTCCTGGTTATCTGATGCCTACGTAAAGGGGATAGCTAGAAGATCCATTCCCCTGAAGGACAGGGCTGCTGTCCTTGGGCTAGAGGAATATCTACAGGGGGTTCTGGGTAAGACTTACGTTGACACAGCATGACGGTGACTGCCAGGGCAGTGAGGAGCAGGAGGCAGGCACCTGCCAAGGGAACCCAGATGAAGATGTCACAAAAGAAATTCAGCTCTTTCTCCTTGATGGTCTCTGCAGGAATAGGGAAGAGGAAGGGTCCACCAGGTGCTCGTGGCTGGTGTTACAGCCAGCTCTGGTGGAGCCAAGGGACCCGCCTGGCGTTCAGCGAGGCTGGTGGTGAGGCAGAGGGCTTCCCCTGGCCCCCAAAGGCAGAGGTGGGCACCAGGGACGTCCACAAGCACAGCATGGGTGTCATCCCCAGTGGTAAGCATTTGTTAGGGCTGCTGCTCTAGGCATTTTCCTGGGGACTTGAAGGGAGGACACGTAGCTAAAAGTTTTCTCATGTCCCCTGCCAAGGCTAAAACCAGCCCCAGCCCCCAAGGCTCTGCCCTCCCTCCACCTCTTCCCAGTGTGCCCAGCCAGGAGACATGCTCGTGCTTTTTAAGTCATCCTTAGCCTTTCCTAAGTGGGATGAAACATTGGGGTTTAACCCTCCCAGCTGCACATACCCAGGTATCCAACTCTGATAAAGCTCTAAAGATTTTTCCCTCCCCCTCCCATCCCAAAGTGCCTGCAGGATCCCCCTCAGTAGCAGTGGACCAGAGCCCAGCCCTTCCCCTCTCCCTCCCTGCAGCTGGGCTACCTGGGTTTAGGGTCTTCAGGCAGGGGTCCTTTTCGGTGATGCCGTGCTGGGTGGTGGGTGCTGGAGTGGTGGGTGCTGCTGTGGTGGTGACTATAAGTGAAAATGGATGAATACGGCATATAGGAAAATAAAATAAAATAGCTCTCTCCTGCCTTTCTGCTCTCCCATCCCTGCCAGGCCACAGCTGCTCCTGTGGCCAGTGTAGGGCTCAGGTTCGGGGGGACTTCATGGAGCCCATTTTGGATAGTGACTCCCCCAAGGAGGGTCTCCTAAGACCCAGTAAGGAGCTGCAGGCTCCTTATTTCTTGCTTTCTGCCACCACCCTCAGAAAGCCTGAGTAGCCTCAGGCTGGTAGGACTTTTGGGACCTACATGAGGTGAGGAAGGATGGGGTGGTGGTGGGCTTTGCTCTAGTCTCGTCCCTTCAGAGCCATGAATGGGAAGGAGAAGTGGGGATGGGGAGGCGATGCTGGGTCTGCCCGTTTGTCTTTGCCTTTGGGCAGGGATGATACCATGAGGAGGAACGGCAAGCAGGGAGCCTCTGGCAGGAGGACAGGCGCATTGGTCACAAGATGCCTTGGGCAAGCAAGCAGGGAAATGGGGTTTGTGGGAGAGGCAACTGATTAAAAAAGGCATGGGCAGGGGGTGCTGGACATTTTGTCAGAGCTAAGCAAGGTTGGGTGGAGGTGTTGCTGACCTGGGAAGAAGGCAGGCTGGCCATGGCTGAAGTACAGCATTTGGTTGCTGTTCATGAGGCAGAAATAGTTCCCCTCATCCTCCGGCATGAAAGACTTCACTACCAGCTGGTAGAACCTCCTGCTTTTCGTCGCCTCGAAGCGGCTGGATGTCCTCTTGTTCCCCTCAAAGGTGGTCCGGGGCAGGGAGGAAATGAAGACGATGAAGTGAAGGGTCCCATTCTTGTCCAGGCGGACCCAGAATACACCGCTGTCGTCGTTGGTGGTCAGACACTCCAGCTCCAGCCGCTGTCCCAGCCGGGGGTGCGTGATGCTGCTGTTACGAAACCTGGCCGTCATCTTGTGCTCCTGGCCCTGGATCCCAAGGCAGCCTGCGGGAGAGAAATCCTCGTGGGAACTGCTTGGGAAGAGCCACGTCCCCTCCAGGCAAACCTTGTTCTCTGTCCATGGGGTGCGAGGTCAAATGCAAAGGATGACCGTGCTGTCTAGATGACTTGAAGGTTTTATTGGAGTTCTTGCTGGGATCGTGTGTGGAGGGTGCTCAGCAATCAGCCACCTGGGCTTTAAAGATGGGTGCTGCCCTTCAGCAAAGCCTTTCAGCTACCTTCTCAGGGATGGTACCCCTTCCCAGCTTATCTGAAGTGATTCCCTAAAAACACTGACTGCTAAATCCCCTTTTTTCCCCTTCCCTCTCCCCTCCAGAACCACCTCTCCGACCGGGCTCCCTTCCCACTGTGTATGAAGCTGCAGCCACCCCTCTGGCTGCCCTACGCTGGCTGAGGTGATGCCACCTTTACCTCCGCAATTACCGAGCAAACCTCAAAGTCAGCCTTTTTGGTTTGCTTTTTATTTTCCCTGTAACTATTTAGCCCAATTTCGTGGATTCAGTGGAAAGAGTTTACTTGCCCCTCCCAGTGAAGGTGCTGCACAACCCTGTGTCCATACTCACAGAGCCCCAGAGCAAGCAGAAGGAACCGTGCAGGAGACCCGGCCATCTTCTGCTGGGGTGGCCGTCTTCGGGGATGGTGTGGCGGAGCAGAGATGATCTTTCTCGCTTGAGTTGGGAGGCCGTGTCACTCTTTGGAGAGGATGTGATGTCATCAGAACCCTCTTGGGTAAAAAGACGGTGTTCGGCATCTGTAGCAAAATTAAGGGAAAAAAAAATTTCTGAAGAAATTCAGTTCTAATCCAGAATCTGGTCTCATTGATCGTTATCAGTTCTTAATGGTGCCTCAAGGATTTTGCCTCGATGACTTCCCTAGAGATTCAGACTGATGATGCTCGTGCCTGAGGTAGGATCAGCCACCGCAGCCTGCTGTCTCCCAGCCATCCGGGGGTTCACAGCAGCTCCAGCTCTGCAGAAGTCACGGACAAGCCCCGTGCTTTGGCTGCAGGCCCCAGGTTGCATTTCTTGGCAGGGATTCTGCTGCCTTTACCTGCATGCACTCAAGGGGTCTTGTGTGGATAGCAGAGCACACCGTATTTTATTACCCAGCAAGCACGATGGGTGTTTCATGGCATATATCCATCCGTATTTTTTATCTCCAAGCACATGCATTGCTGACACGCAGCTGAGTTCTTCAGGTGCTCGATCGTTCTCTTTGCAATTCTTCTTTGCAATTGCTCTGCAAAAGCCGCTTTGTGCAAGGCAGGTGGTCTGTGATCTGAAACCCATCGAGAAAGCCCCATGCCCCAGGAGTATGCTTTTTTTTTTTTTTTTTAACATCTTGTGGTTTTCATCTCTAACCATAGGGGCTTCCACCCTGCCAAAAAACCCTTGCATGCTTCAACGGAGAGGGCCCTTGCTGCTGCCTCCAGGTGACCACTTGCACATGGTCAACGCGGGTGATGCTTCCTGGAGCTTTGCACATACAATAGCAACAGTTTCACCAGATCGCAAAGCGGTGGGCTGGTGTTTTGTTTATTTCTTCAGTTGGCAATTCCTGGGTTTCTTGCTGATTATTTTTCTGTGCGAGGCATTTTTCTATTACTCCTTTGCAAAGAAAGCCGCCTTTTCCTGGGTATGTCAGAAACCAGGTGCTGCTGACTTTGATGCCATTGCTATTGTGGCTGCTACTTAGAGATGAGTTATAGAAAATGCTTCTGGAACTGGGTTTATTTCACTGGCATCAAAGCATGTTGGTGAATGAAGAAAGCTGCTGTTAGGCCTGCTGATGCGTGTGAAATTCACACTTTCATGAGGCTGTGATATTTGTGATGTCTACCAGAAATAGAGCAGATCTTGGCAAAATGAAGAGAAAATAGGTTTTGTCAATTAAACAACATTACAATTAAAAACCAAACATCCCATCAAGCAAATGTGAACATCAGGCTTGAGGTTCTTCCAAGGTTCTCCAGTCATCTCCAGATGAGACATCTAAGTGATGTTACTTGTGTAGGCTCCTTCTGGTTTCAGTGGGCAGTTTATTTTCCTTATCCTAAGTAGAATTCATCCTCCCTTTATAATGGGATAAGCTGCTTTTGGGAAGCACCTGTCTTCACGGGCTGATGGAGGAACATGGGCAAGGAACTGAAACCATGGGCCTGCCTTGTAGATGACTACAGCTGAGTCTCATGTTTTCTGAGATGCTGAAGTGAGCTGGTTCCTGCCATCCATTGGGATTGTTGTGTGAGTGCCCCCCGAGTTCCACCACTACCACAACTCAGTGTCAGAAAATGAAATTTCAAAGGCATTTTAAAAAGCACAGCCCTCTTGAGACCAAAGTAGGAAAATTCCCGATTCCCATTTTTCAGTATGATTCGAATGGAAGTGAACACGCTGGCAAATGAGGATGGATCAAATGTTTGTCAGGACTAGGTTCTCACTCTGCTGTAGAGCGTGGATGCTTACCTACAGCACGTAGTGCATGTCCTCAGAGATGGGGTGATGGATGTGCTGGGAGAACCTATACGATTAAGGGATCATCCAGGAAGGGCTATTGCCTTTCTTAGTAGGGACATCTTAGTTCTCTCTTGTCTCTGATTAATGGTAAATTTTATTATGAATCAGTCCTGGGTGCCAAACTGGAGCCCAGAGGTTCCTCTCCTGGATGTAGAGGTGTCCTTGATCTTGGTCCTTGTGGCTCACAGATTAAGCTGGTTTCCGTGCGAGACCACCATTTCCAGTGTTACGTTCAGACCCTGCATCACTGCTCAGAAGGCTCCTTTTCCTCTTCACACTCTTACTTGCTGAAGCGCTTTATGACTCACCACTACACGAAAGATACCACCAGCCCCTCTCTCTTCTGATGCTTGCCCATTGCGCTGGGCAAGGGCGATGTTGGGGAGTCACAGGAGATGGCTTCAGGGGGAGCTATTTCTTTCTGCTGCCTGCAATAAACTGCTAATGAATAGATCCTTTTAAGGCAAGACAAAAGCTTATTGTCAGTGGAGTGATACAGCTGTAAGCGGGCTGTTGTGCATCTCTTTTCAGCATGGACACCCTTCGTTGGTCAGAGAGGGCACCAGGGAAGTGTAGCTCCGATGGAGATCCTGTGCCCCCATCTCATGCCTCCTAAATAATAAGTTAGCTGGGGCAGGGATCGTCGTCTTCTGGGTTCTGTGTTTAGGTATCGCTTAGCACAATGCTGGTTCCATTTTGCATAGTAAAACAACTGAAACAGTTGCAATTAGTTGATTACGAAAAGCTCCAGGCTTAAACAGGACCTCCAGGAAAAGCTCTAATTTAAAATCAACACTTGTATAAATAATTTAGATCAGTATATGTATGTTTTACACTGGTGACCTACTCCAAAACTGGGAGGTGTAGGTGGTTAATGAGGTTAATTAAGAAATCCCTTTGCCTTTAGCATACTCTGGTTTGGCAGTTTGTCCTCTAGATGATATTTTGAAGTAGACTTGTCATTATTAGACTGAGGACCTAAGTCAAATCAGTGAAACACTAGCATTAATAACATGTTTTATTAGTAATTCCTATTGTAGTGCCACAGTGATGACATGACTAAGGCAGAAGAAAAAATTCAGACAACCAGTTACTTCTGCAGAGCATTGTATAAGAGATGTCAGGAGACCAGACAGGTTGGTTAGACAGTAGAAGGTAATTTCTTTTTTCTCCCAAACCTACCAACAAGCTTCATTTTACTCGTAGCTAAGGTTGCAGTGCTCTGATTGCTGGTGAACTCCAACCTAAGTTGCTTATGACCGAGGCTTATCTTTATATACTAAGGCAAGCCTAGGTCTGAATTTATTTAATGTCTAACAATTAAACAGGAGACAGGAGCAAGGAGAGAAGAGACAAAACCACACAGGGAAGAGACTGTCCCGGTTTTGGCTGGGATAGAGTTAATTTTCTTCTTTCCAGACTGACAATGATCCGCATTTTTGGAATGGGGCTTGGTAGGAGGTGAGTTTAGGATTAATTTTCCTTGTGCTTACTTACATCCATTTAACAGAGAAGACATGGGAAATGAGAGGGAGCTTGGGGCATCAGAGCTGGAGGAGGTGCTGAATTTCGGATATGACTGATTTCTTAGTTATTTTAAGGAAGGATCTCAGTGACTTTTGCATAGTGGTAAGAAACTCTTCAGCTTCTTAGTATCAGCAGTATCAGACATCGCATGGATGTCTCACAGATTGGTGTGACTGGCGGCAGGAGCACGTCTCAGGACACGGGAGTTATGCTGTGATGGTTGGGAGACACAAAAGGAGCACCAGAATGACTGTGCTCTGTTGGGTCCGCTGTTTTTGTCGCCCATGGTATCTCCTCCTTGTAGGGCTTCAGAAGGACTTCCCATTGCTAAGCAATGATGCAGCCTTGCTGATGATGAGCAGATGCTGCCTGGTCCCTGCAAGCGATCAATTAGTGGTAACTCAGGGAGTGACAGCGGACTGTGTTTGCTTGAGCACTGCTGATTCTTCCTGTTGTTAACCTTTGAAGGATCTCTTTTGTAAGGAGGAATGGAAACTTTCAAAGAAGATTTCAAAATTTAGTCGCAAATCACAAACTTTTCTTTCAAATGGAGGAAAAAAAAATGTTGAGGCTAAAGCACACAACTTTTCCGGTGTGAAATAAAGCTGTGGTTTATGAGCAACTTGCTGCCCCCCTTTTCTTTGTAAAGCTGCAGCATTGAAGGGGTTTGGAGAATGTCAAGTGCAGCTGTCACGCACCAGATACTCACAAACCACCTTTCCACTGCATGTTTCCAATTCAGTGGCCAACACTGCACTCTCTTCTGGGTACTCTTAGTGTAAACATCACATATCTTAAAATACAGTATGCAAACCACAAACACTCCTGCACTCCCACCTCTCCGTAGTGGGGACATTTAACCTGATCAATGGGTTGAAAATCTCCACTGCTGCACATCTTTACTGTTAACATTTTTGAGAGGGAACTTTAATTTGGTTACAGCTAGCGGGAAGGAAGTGTTTCCATTTCTGAACATCCACCCCTCCTGCTGACAGTGCTGGCTGTATGGAAACCTGTGGCTCACTTGAGATTACTTGCTTCACTTGTTTTGTGGTCCTATTAGTTGGCTGGCTTGTACAACTTCCTATTTCTTCCTGATTCTGCATTTTCTTGAAAAACAAACCTCGCTGTAGAATTAGACCTGTAAGACAGAACGCTAAGCTGTGACACCTTGCTCAAAGAGGCAGAGGGGAGGATAGATGGCTGCATCAAAAAGCAGCAGCTGGTTTAATGCTCTCCCATTATCAACAAAACAAACTGAATTTGGTGTTAAGAGTTTCACGTTTAACAGCCTGATCCCCACCATTGCTGTGAAGAGATGTGTTTGATTACTCTTTCCATATCTGTTCTACCAGATGTACCATTCTCACCCTGTTTGTGAGCGTTGGACTCCGTAGCCATATAACAATTCATGTTTAAAACCTATCCTGCAAGCTTTATTTTTATGCACATTAATTAATTGCATTTGTGCATTGTAAATACAGAACTGCAGAAGGGTCTTTCAGAGACTGGGCAATACAGGGGCAGGTGAAATTTGGAGTAGATGAATGTGAAGTGATGCATGCA